TTTGCTATCTTGTGTGTGGCGTGAAAACGGAGTGGTTAAGATAGTCTGATGTCACACTGTCTTAATCCTATCCTATTTATTTTCATATACATTAACAATATTTTTAAAATAAACTTGCTTGATATCTTAAAAACAGCCCTTATACTTATAAAAATATTTTTACTTCCCTCTAAGCTTACAAATTATTGGGAAGTAAATCGTTGTTTATGCAATTGTTCGTTGTATTTAGTGAAGCAGATTGTTTTTGTGTTTTTGTCAGTGGCGCTGTGTGAGTGGGTGGTGGGTTTATCCGCAAGGTGCTTGCTTTTTTTTTTTACAGTTTCCGAAGTATATGACATTAATTTGAGTTTGTTGGATATTTTAAATGGTTTCATGACAAAAGATCTGAGTACAACTTATCTCAGGTAAAATATCATACACAAAATATCTCACAGGAGATATGAGATACAAAATATCTCGGGATAAAATACATCAGGACAAAAGATGTAAAAGACAAAAATCAATGAGATAAAATTATAGGAGACAAAGTGTAACGTAAAGGGAAAGATTAGTGATATGTTTAGGAACTGTGTTTCAGGATAAAGAAGGAATATCGTTTGGGATAGGGATATAATTTGGGATATGGTTTTGATTATATGGATAGTGATAAAGTTGAAGATAGAATATTACAAGAGGTAGGTTTAATGTTAATGATAGGAATTGAATTAGGAATAAGGCTAGGGCTAGGGAGCTGAAAATGTAAGGACGGTACAATATGTATTCTAAACGGCGAGTTATTGACAAATGGATACTGGCCTAGACCTGGTCAAACATGTCGTATTTCGGATAATTTTCAGAATGCATTTCAGTTGTATGCTTATTTGTGAAATACATTAGACTTTGAGTTAGGTCTGAATATCATTGGAGATCTATAAACATAAATTGTAATCGGTAATGGCGACTTTTTGCAAAGTTGATAATGATATAGAGTCAAACATAAATAATCAAACATGCAATGTTTTTTTTATTTTCAATATTAAAACTGACAGTTTTAATTGTGTGTGAGTCGCGAGTCATTGCTTTTATCAAAATGGGTCGGCATTCGAAATGATTCGGGAATCTGTGCATTCAGTATCATAGTGTGGCGGCTGGGCGTAGTGCTGACCACATTATCTCTTCATAAGCCGATGTTACAGAAACAAGTGAACTCTAGCTCACTTGTCCTATAGACCGACAGGTTTGAAAAGGGAACTTTACTGACTTGTAAATTCTGGAGCTAACAATTTAAAATTTGACCTGGCAACGTATGGCTTAAGCAAAGCCTATCTGCTATCGGGTTTATATATATATATATATATATATATATATATATATATATATATATATATATATATATATATACAGATGGATAGACAGACGGACAGAAAAACCTAAAACGAGAATTTAGACCTAGATAAAGATACAGAGAGGGAGAGAATTTTACCGAAATCATAAAGATAGTTCACTACAATAAAGAATATCAAGGTTATCATGCAGCAATTGTTTTTACCATAGCTTCTTTGTCTAAAACAAATAATCCTTTGGACTGACTTTTCTTTTTAAACTTCTCAAAAGCTGCAACGGCCTTTTCATAGGGGCTAAGAAATTCTTTATGACCTTGATGGTACTTGCGTTGTTCTGCCTAAAGTTTAAAAAAAATTCAGTTAAATAATAGTATTCGAAAAAAGAACACTAACGTTATAAGGGACTATTCATGACATGGTCAGTTTAAATCTTAAATTAAACATTGGTATTATCTGTTGAAAATACTATTAGATATCTTTTTTAAAAAGTTTATTTTACCGCCGAATTTCTAAATTCGTTGTCCAGCTTTTGTTCTAGGGGAAGGATCAAATCAGAAAAAAGCGCCTTTGTCTGAAAAATGTAACAATTTTAGCTCTTCATGATTGATTTAAAAAAAAAAATTTAAAGTTATTAACCACACTAAAAGATACTTTTAAAACCTTCCTGGCCTGTTTTGTGTGTCCGTATGAATGTTTATCCACACCATGCATATACTATAATTTATTATAATTGTTAATGGAAGAGCATTTTCCTGGTTAACAGTAGGCCTACATTTATTTAACATGTCTAAACAGCAAGCTGGATGGTTAGGTCCTACATTTATTGCAATATTGTGAGACTACAGTGTAGGGGAGACTGCAGACTTTGATGCTATCCTTAGAAAAGTCTTTCTATGGTGCTAAACAGTGACACATCACCATGATTCTACGCGTTTCCCCAGGTTGTTTTAAAACCATGGATGTGGAGAGAGAGATGCATTTTGTGGTGTATTATTTTCTGTTCTTTTTTTTTTCTTCAAAAAGGACTTTCAAATGTGTTTTCATTGTAGCGAATCAAAGCCTTGCACGAAGAGCATCTAAAATATAAGCGGCTAGGTAGTGTGTCAGTCAGTCCGTCATCGCTATCAGTGTTTCTTCCAGACTTTTTTCTTCGGGGGGGGGGGGGGGGGAAAGAGGGGGCGGACACTGTTAAAAGTATATATCTTCTATTAAAATTCCATTTTATTCGGGGAGAGGGGGGGGGGGGGCGGTAGACTTTATTCGGGGGGTGGGGGGGGGGGGGCGAAGAGACGCCTGGAAGAAACTCTGATCGCTATAGATTCTAGAACCATAAAAAGTAAAACCTCAACACATACCGTGCATTGTATCTGCACCGCATTGTCTAACCATAAGTGATAGAGTAGGGTTTATTTATATAACGACTTAATTTTTTTAATAGTTGGCACATTTTTTACTCTTTCGCATAACGAGAAGAAAATATTAAAAACACGCACATTGCTAAAACATATGAAACTGATTAATATCAAATAATATTTTCGCTTAGATTCTTAGAAAAAATGGATAGATTTTAATAATAGTAGGGTAAAAAATAGTAATTAACTAAAATGTTTGATGATCATGCCAGGGGAGGTAATTGAATAAAAGAAATTTAACTCCCCTAACCCTGTCTAGAATATTCTTATATAACACTACGGGGGATGACAAATCGGAATATAGACATGATTTTTAATCCATTTTAATTACTTACACTTTTAATAATAGAATCGAATCTCATAGGGAAAAAAAGAATTGCGCACCATGTGCAATTAATCTATTGATGCTTTGTTAAGTTTAACAAATTCATTTTCTTCACAATTATTATGCGTTAAAAAGTAAACAAAAATATATTGACAGGCAATGTAAAAAATAGTTCAAATCAACTAAAAACATCGTACATACTTTTAAAATTTTGATGTGAGATATTTTGTCTGAGATATTTTGTTTGAGATCATTTGTCCATGATATCATTTGTCCTGATATATTTTGTCCTGGCATCTTTTGTCCGTGAGATCATTTATCCTGAGATCAGTTGTCATGAGATCATTTGTCCGTGAGATATTTGTCTGAGATATTTTGTCTGAGATCATTTGTCCTGAGAAAATTTGTCCTGTCACCATATATATATATGTATATATCTATATCTATCTATCTATATATATATATATATATATATATATATATATATATATATATATATATATATAATTATAATTATAATAGTTTCACTAACTATTCTTTCTGTTTTTATGTCTGAAACACTAATGAAAACAAAAGAAAAATAAAAACTTTCAAAGTCAAACAAAAAACGAAACTTCCCACGACCATGGCGTCACATACAGCAAATTGGAAATTTTCAAAACGAAACGAAATAACACAAAAAATATGACGTCATCGGTACACGATAATGAATACACTTACATTACCGCCTAATTTATTTTTCTAATCTTAGAGTGGTCGGCATGTAGAGTTTCTTTCCTGAATCTCGTTGGGTAGAGGGCAAAGCCACCCCTCCCCTTCCGCGAAGGGTGCGCGGACCTTTGACCACAGGTGCTTTGACCATAGGGGGTTTGCCCATAGGGGGTTTGACCACAGCGGAGCTTTGACCATAGGGGCTTTGACCATAGGGGGTTTGACCACAGCGGGGCTTTGACCATAGCGGTGCTTTGACCATAGGGGGTTTGATCATAGGGGGTTTGACCATAGGGGGTTTGACCACATGTGTTTTCTCAGCAGAGGGTTTTTGATCACAGGTGGTCTATCAACTGGTGTTTGATCACAAGCGCTGCGTCCGGCTTTGATCATAGGTGTGATACAATTAACACGATTTTATACATGTTTCCTGAGAGTACGTTAATAGAAATTAACATGTATTTAAAAGAAGACAAGAACTATAATTTAGTCTCCACATAAAGGCTGGTGCTAGGCCTCATAGATTTATTTTAAATATAAATGAAACACAAATAATGCGACATATAACAAGCTTCACAAATAAATAATGTAGATGTACTTTAAAATACATAGCATATATAAAGGATAAAAAATGATACAAAACTTGCCAACAATATAGTCAAAGATGTAATACATAAAATGGTTAACTAAATGACAGATGTGCTATAGCACGCAAATATGTCAGTACATCTGTTTGACCATATGTCTGGACAGCACGTTGTACTTTTTCGTGCAGCATCTTGTATAGCTTCTCAGCTGGGAAGCTTGCCCCTGCAACACCTTGCAAGAAAGTTGTCTTTTGCCGTGTGCAGTCCATCTGCAGACCTTCAAGGAAACGCCACATTGTTGGTGTGACTACATTGGAGGAGAGACTGAAGACTGTAATGCCATCCTTCACAAATGTTATTTGTTCGTGCTACACCATCTCCAATCGTGTGCAAGATTCTCCATGGTTTTTAAATAGAGTAGTTTAGATGACTTCTATTTATACATGATGATTTAACATATTATTACAAGATGTCGAAATTTAAAATATAATTTAGCAACTTTTAAAATAAATCCTTACCATATATGGACAGCATTGGACAAAACACCTGAGATCAAAGACCCTATGTGGACAAAAAACATATGATCAAAGCCGGACACAGCGCTTGTGATCAAACACCAGTTGATAGACCACCTGTGATCAAAGACCCTCTGCTGAGAAAACACCTGTGGTCAAACCCCCTATGGTTAAACCCCCTATGATCAAACCCCCTATGGTCAAAGCACCGCTATGGTCAAAGCCCCGCTGTGGTCAAAACCCCTATGGTCAAAGCCCCTATGGTCAAAGCTCCGCTGTGGTCAAACCCCCTATGGTCAAAACCCCTATGGTCAAACCCCCTATGATCAAACCCCCTATGGTCAAAGCACCGCTATGGTCAAAGCCCCGCTGTGGTCAAAACCCCTATGGTCAAAGCCCCTATGGTCAAAGCTCCGCTGTGGTCAAACCCCCTATGGTCAAAACCCCTATGGTCAAACCCCCTATGATCAAACCCCCTATGGTCAAAGCACCGCTATGGTCAAAGCCCCGCTGTGGTCAAAACCCCTATGGTCAAAGCCCCTATGGTCAAAGCTCCGCTGTGGTCAAACCCCCTATGGTCAAAACCCCTATGGTAAAAGTACCTGTGGTCAAAGGTCCTAGGACCCCGCGAAGAGGTGAAAAGAAAAAAAGTCACGGGAAAAATAAACAGAAATAAAGTTACAGATTTTTGCTAGGAAAAAAAGTCACAGAGAATAGTCACAAAGGAAAAATTTTATTTGAAAAAAAAGTTACAGAAATAAAGTCATAGAAGAAAAGTCACAAAATCTGTTAAGAAATATTTTGATTTAATTGTTGAGAATTGTAAAATTGTGGGTGTTTATTGGTGTGGGTTGTTTTTGTTTTGGTTGCATATTTATAAACGTAAAAGCATTATGGTTTATAACAATAATACGTAAAAAGAAGATGACGTAATTCACACAGAAACCTCATCTTGTGTTACGAATTTAGTTAAATACGCGGTAGAACAATTAGTTACAAAAGTAATTTTGGCACATCATCGTGTTTTGCATATTTGTTTTTGCCGTTGGCCATTCCTTGGTTGGCTTCTCCTCAGTCGGCCTTGTCCGTGTATATTGTTTGATGTTGGCGTTTCGCGTCAATGACAGCATTTGAACCGTGTCGGCTTTCTGTTTTGATCCCATGCTTTGTTACGTAATGAGTGTGCTATTTTTGCTGTGAGTTGAGGACTGCAAGCTACATTAACTACGCCGATACGCCATCTCACGCTAATTTAAAATTAGTATTTCAAAAACACGATGAAAACCGAAAAGGTTGGAACATTCTATTAAATATTATAAGTACAACGGAATTATATAAAACCTACAAACTTTATACTAAAAAAAATTTACTTGTCATATATACTTATACAACATACGCACATATTTCTAGATATTTACATTACATTTGAATCGTAAGTTGATTTGCACTTTCTGAATATTTAATACATAAAAGTATTAAATTCCATACATATACTTATTTGTGGGTTTTTTCCCTGTTTTTTCCTGTTTTTCCCCTACAATCCCCGAAGAACGTTTACTTATCCCCCCCCCCCCCCCCATACCCGAACGAAATACAATTTATATAGAAAGTATATACTTTTACCAATGTCACCTCCCGCTCCCCGGAGAATTTAACACGCCTTCTCCCTCAAAAATATTTCAACTCCCCCCCCCCCCCCCGAGAAAAAATTTAGGAAAGAAACACAATGTGTATTACTGAGCTTAGCGACCATAATGGGTCTAGATTATAGAAATAGTAAGAGAGTGAAGTTTTGCCATAGGGACGGGTTGTTATGGTATGCAAACTAGGTAGTTCGAACTAGGGAGAATGTGAGAGATACTTCGTGTAATGTCGATATCAAGGATAGTTTTATGTTTATTTATACGAGAATAGTAGTTGAATAAATATTGACCAAGAAAATAACAGGCATTGTGTAAAGCGATTATCGCCTCTATCGTGGTGATGGAAATGCACATGGTAGAAGTATGCTTTAAATGTTAGTAGATCACATGATCAAACACGACACTCTCACAGCAGCCGTAACAGTGATGTATAAATGTGTCATCTAGTCCATATAGGTCTTTGTGCTAAATTTCTCTTTTGCCCATTTTTCGTTGTTTTTTTCTGGTTGCGTAATTTTCTGTTTGCGCTTTTTATATGTTTGTCCTTTATTCCGTTTGCGCTTTTTTTCTGAGTGCGCTTTTTTCTGTTTGCGCTTTTTTCCGTTTGCGCTTTTTTTCTGTTTGCGCTTTTTTCTGTTTGCGCTTTTTCTGTTTGCGCTTTTTTCCGTTGCGCTGACGGAGGTAAGGAAGGAAGGAAGGACTGACACACTAACAGCCCGCTTATATATATATATATATATATATATATATATATATATATATATATATATATATATATATATATATATATAAAGCCGAAACGCATTAAAAGAAGAAAATCAAAAGTTTTGAGCAGGGGTTCTGACCTTAGTTCGATCGAATCCAAGAGGTTCCTTCCGTCAGTCTCAGGGATTAGACGGAGGTCAAGAAACACCCCTGACTCACAAGATTCACGATTTTGTCAGTGTGGACGATATAGCTATTAAGAAGGGTTAGGTGAATGCGTATAAGTACCTGATGGAGCTCGGTACCTCCAAAAAAGTTAAGATCTACTGATTGTGTTGTTTTTAGAAGATGCACGCTTATTTGGTCTACCTTTGGCCTTATCTATAGAACTATTTCGATAATAGTTTAATACACTTTTAAATCAGTTAGGTTGAAACAACAACAACGCATTTACTGTCATCGTGTTGTTCCACTTTTACCTCGCTTAGTAGGTTTAGAGGCTTTAACTATATGAAAATTGCAGATTTATGACTTGTTATAAACCAAGCAATCAAAAAAATTATCTATTTGGTACAATATATAATTTCCTAGATCTTAAAATTTTAACCTTTTTTACTAATCGGATAGCGATTCAAGAATCCGTGATATTTATTTCTCTTTAATACAGTGATCTTGGCAAGATATAATTCAAATCAAGTAAAAATATCTGATCTCTCACAATGAAGTTGAGAGAATCTTAAGAATCGTACAAAGAAACTAGCGCAGATGAGGCTCGTTAGCTGGGGACAGCCACTCTTCTAGGAGAGACAACTCCAAAATCAAACAACTGCTGCCTTGTAGTCAGTTCTTGAATGGACAAAGGCTATGGAAGCAAATCCAAAAAATAAAGCAGGCTGAAAGCTGAGTCAATGGCCTCAATGGCTCATAACCAGTTGACACGAATACTTAATTGTGTTGAAGGGGATCCTTTCCAACACTAAAATTTATAACGAAGAAGTACAAAGAAATAGTCACGTCATTTCATTATAAAACCGGTCAGTGAAATCGTCCATTACGCGTTAATACAACTTGTTTCTATTCTAAAGTTTAAAGGGTTTATTTACTCACGTTCCGATGTAAATCCTTCCCTTTTACCTTGGGAAAAAGTGCCCCCACCCACCAACTTTTAAAAATTTTACTTTTACACAATAATCTTTAACCTACAATGGTTTTATTTTACAAGTGATAAAGTTTATTAACTCACTAATCCAGTGTAAATCCTTGTGATTTTAGTTAACAAAAAAGTGCCCCCCCCCCCCCCTCCACCACAATCTTGAAATAAGTTGGTAGAGCGGGTTTTAACGTCACTAATATTTTTTACGGTTCCACAAACTTACAATACACTTTAATACGATTAGTTTCTTATATAAGTGATAAAGTTTAATCAAATGTTATATTATAAACGTTGACTGTTTATAATTCAAGAATGCAGCTTAAAATTTAAAAAAAAAAATTGTCTACCTTTTTTTTGGTGCCCCCCTAGGGTTGGCGCACGTGGCGGTAGCACGTCCCCTACCCAGCTACGCCTCTGGCCACCCTTGCGAAATTAAAAGAGATTTTTGTTTTATTGCAGAAACCTCCCCTGGAGGGTTCTAATCAGCTCCACAAAGCTTGATGACAATTTTTCTTGGAATACGTATAACAAATCTTTCAGTTCGAAACTAAACAAATTAATATTTTTTAAATTCATTATATTAATTTTTTGCAGTCGGAAAAAAAGACAAAATAAGTTTTTAAAAAATATTAATAAATAAATGAGTTCGTAATGGAACTATTTAAGACAAAGAATCTGTTTTTTTTATTTAATGAAGTGAATAAATTGTTTTTGTTGATTATATTATATTTTTATTAGGCATAATAAGTTTACGTTAATTTGTGCTTCACGTTAATCAAATTTTTTGTTGAAAAAATAATGAAATAGTATGTCAAACCAAAATTAAACATAAGGAAAGACTAAGTTGTGATTACAACAGTTTTTGAGTTTTGTATTAATGCTAAATAAATGTCAATGTACACTGAAAATAAAGACTGCCAACAGTGAACAGACAAGCATAAAACTGAGGGCATAATTGGCATCATTTAAAAAGGGCCTTTTTCGCTTGCTTATTTTTACTTCAGTACTTACGCAGTCTTCGAATTTCATTTGTATTTCTTTGTATGCTTCAGCAATCCTAAATATAGCATGACCTGAAAAAAATATTTCTAATTTATAAATACATCTATATGTAAATATATATATATATATATATATATATATATATATATATATATATATATATATATGTAATATTATAAATCCTATATGGTAATTGTCTTTTTTGCCTGTCATTAACTAGAAAATATTTTAATAGCTCTTAGGTTAGAACAACGTTTTCATGATACCATATATCGTAAAATTTGTACCATTTAATTTTACATTTAGAAATAGATACGTTATTATGTTATTAATGCATTTTTTCAAATGGTACAATTATTGAAAATAAGTCGTCTCTGTCCTGGGCTAGTCTCTCCAGCTATCCCCATGTGTATCCAGTTTTCTTGGTGTCTTCTTCCAGGTCACGTCTCCGGGTCTTTCTTGGTCTGCCTCTTCTCCTCCTGCCCTGTGGTGAGGGCCTGTCTTGTTATGCAGGATGGGAGCCGGACGTTTTCCCGAAAGACACTTGCCCGAATAAATAAATCAAACAAGCCTCTATTCAATGTTGCGAGACGCCACGCCGCCTACGCCGTGTCGAAAGCGCTATATAACCACCGCAACACGTCGGCTAGACTAGGTGTTCAAAACATTCATCAGGAGAATATAAAGACACCGCCACCAACATCACCTTACATTTTTTAAGAATACATTTTTTTACATAAATTTCTCACTTTTAAAAAAAATAAATGCGGATGTTCAAGCCCAGGCATGTTGAAAAATTAGCAACACTGTTGGTTTTATTTTGCATTTGCTGTTGTGTGTGAGAAAGAAGGGCCAGGTCGTCAGCAAAGTCCAGGTCATCTAGCTGGCTCCACAGTGTCCACTGTATACCGTTTCGCGTTTTCTCAGTTGACATCTTCATAATCCAGTCTATGGCCAGCAGGAACAGGAATGGTGAAAGTAGGCAACCCTGCCTTATTCCAGTCCGTACTGGTAAGGTCTAAGAAGTCTGTTGGCCATGCACTACTCTACACTTCAGACCTTCATATGAAGACATAATAATGTTGACTATTTTCTGTGGTACCCCGTAGAGTCTCAACAATTTCCACATTGACTGTCTATCCAGGCTATCAAAGGCCTTCTCGTAATCTATGAAATTAATATAGAGAGATGAGTTCCACTCTTGGGTCTGTTCAATGATGATGCACAGAGTAGCAATTTGGTCTACGCATGACTTTTCCTTCCTTAAAGCCCGCTTGTTGATCGCGAAGCTGGGGATCTATCGCTTCCTTCCTTCATTCTGTTTAATAATATTCTGTTGAAGACTTTGGTTGCATGAACAAAAGTGTTATCCCTCAATAGTTAGAGCATGCACATTTCTTTGGAAGTTTTATGAGTAGTCCCTCCTTCATTTGTTCATCTTCCCATATTTTCTTGAAGAATGTGTGTAGTAGTGTGGTGCTAGTTTCAATATTTGCTTTCAGTGCTTCTGCCGGTATACCATCTATTCCTGGAGCTTTCCAATTTTTCAGCTGCTTTATAGCTTTATGTATCTCTTCTTTTGAAGGTGGGTTGCAGTCTATAGGGAGATCACTTTCAGCTGGTGGTATATCTTGTTGTTGGTCTTTTCAGTAATTCTTCAATATGTTCTGCCCATCTCTACCTCTATCCTTCCGCATCCGGTATTATCTTTCCATATTTGGTCTTCACTGGCCTCTCTGGCTGGATGCAGGACATTACCCCCCCCCCCCCCCCCCCCCCGTCAATTACCCCCCGGACATTTCCCCAATCCCCCCGTATTTACACCCCTGTCAATTACACCCTATGTAATCCCCCCCCCTTTCCACCTAAGCCCCCACTAAACTATATATATATATATATATATATATATATATATATATATATATATATATATATATATATATATATATATACAACAAAATCTAAATGTACAAACATGAATAAAGTTTAAAATAAGCAACATAAAATACACATTTTTGAATTTTTATTTTCTGAAATTAAAAAACAAAAACAAAAGGAAAACTTACAAACATTCAAAAATATATACAACAAAATCTAAACGAACTTACATGAATAAAATTTAAAAAAAAACTGACAACTTAAAATAGTACATTTCTGAATTAGAAAATGGAGGAAAACTTACAAACATTTAAATTTGAATATTGTGAGCTATCCCTCTTAAATAGTCCATGTGATTTCTGTTGGCATAGTCCTTAACGATTTAAAAACACGAGAATTGATGTTACGATATTTTGTTCTTTGTGGTTCTACTGGATGTCCGCCCAGCCGCTGACCGATGACCACTTTGTGAAAACCTTGATCGCGGTTGAGAATATTGATGAAGTGATAGATATTAGGATGGTCAGCAGCAACTGCAGCTTGCATTTTACGGTGCCAACCCTCGACGCTGTTGTTGGTGCGAGGTTACTCATTTTCCACCCTGTGGTGTATGTTCAAAAGACAAACCGACGGACATCAAACGCAAGCCCTATGAGCAGCGGCAACACATTTAGGGTGTATCAAATTTCATTCGTCTGCCACACAAGTCCAGTCCCCACACATGGTGCCTTCCAAAATTATAATTATATGTACTTCAAACGTTAAAACCGACTGGACATAAAACAGCGGCACCACTTTTAAGACTTACATTTTCGTCATTCGCTTTTAAAATCCACTCCTTCACAATATAAATCAAGTGAAAAAAGCCCACAAGCAGTGACATTCTCAATCTCCTATACATATAATTATCTTAAGTTGACCGCTGGGAGGGGAGGGGGGGGGGGGGGTAATGTCCTAATGTTGGTTTTTTTTTGGGCGGGCGGGGTAATGTCCGGGGGTGGGTGGGGGAATTGACCGGGGGTTATTCACCGGGAGGGGGGGGGGGGGGTAATGTCCTATTCCACTCTGGCTTAATGTACTTACCAGATATCTTCTTAATTGTATTGTACACGTCCCTAATATTACCATGGTACGGTGCTTCTTCTGCTTCACTTGCCAGCAGTACTAAATAACTCCGTTTGTCTTTCCTTATGCATTTCTTGACGCTTGTATTTGTTTCAGTCTATTCTTCCAGGGCTTTTAATTTAGCAGCCCGTGTACGGCTGTTGTTTAATGTTGCCTTCTTTCTTTTTCTCTTCAATAAGTTTCAGGGTATCTGCTGAAATCCATTTCTTCGTTTGTCGTTTGATAGGGCCTAGCCCTACTTCACATGTTGCTGTAAATATGTTTTTAGTTTTTTTTTTCATTTTTCTTCAATCGTCTCTTCCTCGATTAGCTCTTGTAGTACCTGAAACCTATTGGACATATGAAGTTTAACTTTCATTGAGTTTATAGGGGTCCTTTAGCAGGCCTGTGTTGTATCTGTGTTTCCTTTTGTTTTTCTTCAGTTTGAGTTTTAGTTTAGCTACCAGTAGGTGATGGTCTGAAGCAACATCAGCTCCTCTCTTGACACGTACATCTTGAAGTGATCTCCTGAACTTTTTTATGATACATATATGGTCTATCTGTTTTTCTGTAGACAAGTCGGGTGATACCCAAGTAGTTTTATGTATCCTTTTGTGATGAAAGAGACTACCTCCAATGACTAAATTACTTGTGGCACTTAAGTCTGCAAATCTTTCTCCGTTTTTGTTCATCTCACTTAAGCCCTGCTGTCCCATACATTCTTCATATCCTCTGTTGTCGCTTCCAATCTTAGCATTTAAGTCGCCCATGAGTATAAGGATGTTTCTTCTTGGGCGGTTCTGGATAATGGTCATTAGCCTGTTGCAGAATTCATTTTTGTTCTCTTCTTTGCTGTCATTTGTTGGGGTGTAGGCCTGTATTATGTCCATGTTCATTCGTCTTATTTTAGTTTTAAAGGTGGCTGTTATGATCCGTGGGCAGTGTGCCTCCCATTCAATGAGAGCTTTTGTGCTTGGTTTGATAGAATGAATGCGACTCCTTGAGTATGTGGAGCATTTTCATCCTCATGGCTTGAGAACAGCAGTAGCTCTCCTGTTATTAGTCTTTTTTGTCCTGACTCGCTGATACCCAGGATAGCTATTTTATAGCGTCTCATTTATATAGCGTCTCATTTATTGGCTTTCACCACCCGGCTTCATAAATTCTCCATCAGGAGATCCATTCTTTCCCAGGTCAGAGCTGTCTGTATTTCTCTTTGTCTGTGTTTCTGTAGCGAGCTGTTTTTTACGATGTAAGGTTGTCGACCTTATGCTCAACCCCCTACCTGGAAAACCAGGGTGCTAGCTTTCGTCTGACCACTACCCGCGCAGACCTTCCCAGCTTGGTTGAACATGCCAGGAGTTAACACACCCGCTGGTATAACTCTAGGGGTTGTCGGGGTACAAAAGCAGAGTTTCTTCCAGGAATCCCTTCGGGGGGAGGGGACTTCCCCCCCCCCCCCACCCCCGAACGAGATGGAATTTAAAAAATAAACATATACTTTTACTAGTGTCCCCCCCCCCCCCGAAAAATGTTGAACACCCCCCTCCCGAAAATATAAAGTGCCTTCTCCCCCTGAGAAAAAAGTCTGAAAGAGACACTGTACACAAGCTGCCAAGCCACGACAAGGCTTGAAATATATCATAAATTAATATGCATCGATTAAGGGGAAATGACCCCAAGGTGAGTTACCAATGATTTTTTCTTATATATTTTTATTTTCATATTCTTACTAGGCATACCACCTAGCTTCGCCTAGGTTTTCAAAAAGCATTTGCGTAAAATCCAGACCTTTAAATAGGCTGTGTAATATTTAAATCAAAGCTTAACTTTCCACCTCGTTGCTAATTTAACGCAAAATTATAACTAGTAAGGTAATTTGAATTACAGAGACTCCCTTGAAAAAAAATTGTCACGTGTATGGAGCCAAAGTAGCCTAAAATTGTTTTGAAATCAGTTACTGTTTTTCACCAAATTAACATTGTTTATATAAGGAATTCGGACTGGTCACTTCTAAAGACGCCGATCAGCATTTCCCCACTAACCCTACCCCCCCCCCCCCTGTCATAGCGTAGATATATAGAATGAGACTAGACTAGTAGAGGTTACTGAGGACGGTGTGAACTTGACGGTAGACGATTTGGTGCTAGAGTATTGTGCGCATGTTTGATAAAATATTTGTGGCGTGAGTGTGACGTGAGCATGACGCGACAATGTACCGATGACATAGGACGTAGCAGTAAAGACAGTTGGGGGTTAGCCATCGTAGAAGACGGACGTGTATTGATAGTGTATAGTATCTGGGTGCCAAATTATTTTGTTAACAGAAACCTTGCCGTTAATATTCTCATTAACTCTTTAAAGCGCATCTGACTTTCATTTTTTTAATATACCGTATATACCCAGGGCGCCACCCTTGCGAAACTAAAAAAGAATGTTTTAGAGAAACCTCACCTGGAGTGTTCTAATTAATTCCCCAACATTTCATAGCATTCGGATGAACTGTATCAGACCGCATTCGACTTTTATTTTTAAATACCGTATATAGAGAAAAATCGCACCCTCCCTAGGCACCGCCCTTGCGAAATTAAAAAATATTTTTTTTGCAGAGCCCTTCGCTGGAGTGTTCTAATCAACTCCTCAAAGTTTGATGGCGATCGGATGAACGCTGTGAAACCGCAATCGACATTTATTTTTATATATCGTATATAGAGAAAAAACAAATCGCAGAAACCTCCCCGGGAATATTCTCAACAACTTCCCAAAGTTTCATGGCGATCGAATGAAAGGTGTATTAAGTTTGATGAAATGTATTAGAAGGATTTCACCAACGCGTTACCAATCATATGTTCTTAGACGCGTGATCTTCTTTTCTAAAATTGAGTTATTTAAATGTAAACAGTGCCTGCGCTTGGATCATAAATATCGGGACACGGGTTTACCTACCGCATGAAAACCTTGAGTGTACATTAATTACTCACCAAAATAATATGATAGAACACACTTCGGTGACCGCCCCTGTGTCAGAGACTTAGAGGGGCGCTCTCAGGAGCCCCCCCCCCCCCCCCCCCCGATTAAACTACCGCATGGGCGCGGCGTACGACCCCTGGCTCCTTAAAACTAACAGGCGCCATCGTGCCAAATAGCATCCAGTTAATGATGCAGATTGTGTCATTCACTAAAGTAACATAAATGAACAGGACTTGTTATTTAACCCGCAAAAAAATTATTTGACGTGTTTTAAACATCAATGTGACTGATGCAATATGTTAGCGTTACAAATGGTCTATTCTTAGATGCTCGATCTTAATTTCAGATTGGATTATCTAAAAATAGATGCTAATGGCATCATTCGCAAAGTGGCGAAACTGTTTAGATTTTTTTACGGACAATAAGAAACATCCCAGTTAACAATCTAACCTTGGTTAATTTCTTATTATTAAAAAAAAACGAATTACATGGCCCTCAGTGGCCCATGTGAGCATTTGGGGGCCGAAACAGCGATTTTAATTTGCAGCCAGAGGACACGCCTGATTCAATTTAGTGAGCTCTTGTAACGCCCCATCCTATCCATTGTCTATCACACTATTTAGACCGAAAGTAGATCGCGCTCTCGGGAAAGACCAGGGCGCCAAATCGCTACCTGCCGAGGGGTCGCCAATACAAAATTAAATCTCCCCGCCCACACAACCCACCCAACCCTTTTCCCCCCTCCCACCCCAGAAACTTTCTCGGGAGTATTCATCAACTCTCTAAAGTTTTATGGCACCGGGATAAATTGCGTCGAACCGCGATCGTCTTTTATTTTTATATACCGTATATTGAGAAAAATCCCACCATTCCGTGGCGCCGCCCTTGCGAAATTAAAAATGTTTTTTTTTACAGAACCCTTCCCTGGAGTGTTCTTATCAAGTCCCTGAAGTTTGATGGCTACGGGATGAACGCTGTGAGACCGCAATCGACTTTTATTTTTATATACCATATATATAGAGAAAAAAATCACGAACTGCCAGGGCGCCACCCGTTAGAATTTGAAAATGTTTTTAGCGCAGAAACCACCCCAGGAATATTCTCAACATCTTCCCAAAGTTTCATGGCGATCGTGTGAACTGTGTCACCGCAATTCACTTTTATTATTTTTATATACCGTATATAGAGAAAAAAAAACGCACCCTCACGTGGCGCCGCCCTTGCGAAATTAAATTGATTTTTTTTTTTACAAAACCCTTCTCAATCAACTCCCCTTCGCTAAAGTTTTATAATGAACTTCCCAAAGTTTCATGCCTATCGGATGAACGGTGTCACTGCAATTCACTTTTATTATTTTTATATACTGTATATAGAGGAAAATCGCACCCTCCCGTGGCGCCGCCCTAGCGAAATTAAAACTTTTTTTTACAGAACCCTTCCCTAGAGTGTTATAATGAACTTCCCAAAGTTTCATGCCTATCGGATGAAAGGTGTCAAATCAAAATCGACTTTTATTTTTATATACCGTATATTGAGAACAAACAAATCGCGCACTGCCGGGGCGCCACCCCTGCAATTTAAAAATGTTTTTAGCACAGAAACCTCCCCATGAATATTCTCAACATCTTCCCAAAGTGTCATGGCGATCGCGTGAACGGTTTCACGGCAATTCACTTTTATTATTTTTATGTACCGTATATAAAGAAAAATCGCACCCTCTCGTGGTGCCGCACTTGCGAAATTAAATATGTTTTTTTTTTTTTACAGAACCCTTCCCCAGAGTGTTCTAAGAACTCACCAAAGTTTGATGGCGATCGGATGAATGGTGTCAAACCAAAATCGACTTTTATTTTTATATACCGTATATAGAGAAAAAACAAATCGCGCCCTGCCGGGGCGCCACCCCTGCGAATTTGAAATTTTTTTCTTTCGCAGAAACCTACCCAAGAATATTCTCAACAACTCCCCTAAGTTTCATGGCGATGTGATGAGAGGTGTAGTAATGCATAAAAGACAAACAAACAAAAAAACAAACAAACATACATTGCTTTTTATATATACAGTGGCGTAGCTAGGGTGGGGGCGGGGGGGCGGGTGGGGACATATGTCCCCGGGCGCCGACCTTAGGGGGCGCCAAAATGGGTTGGAAAAATAAATTGAAAGGTTGAGGGGGGTGCAAATTGAAAGGTTGAGGGGGGTGGGGTGCAAATCAAAATCTTGAGAAAGTTTGAGGGGGGGGGGGGTGCAAATCGGAATCTTGAGGGGGGGGGGGTGCAAATCGAAAAGTTTTCCTCGGGCGCCGGGAAGGGTCGATACGCCTCTGTATATATACAGATATATATATATATAGATATATATATATATATATATATATATATATATATATATATATATATATATATATATATATATATATATATATATATATATATATATATATACAGACGTAGTTATTTGCATTTAGACATTATTTGAAATTTCCAAATCCCAGCCAGCGCCGGACATAAGACGCTTAATAAATTCACAAGTAACGGTCCTTGACAGATTCATTTTTTAACAAAAGCCAGTGCATAAACCAATTTAAACTAAAAGATGTACCTATTTCTTCCGTTCCCCCTTTCCCGTTTGTTCTACATTCATGTCCAAGTCGTCCTAGTGACTCGATGTATGATCTTGCTGCGGAAGATGTACCTGGTTTTAAAAAAAGACATTTTTACATAATACGTCATGTAGAAATGGTTAGTAAGACCAGAATAGCATTTAATCGATAAAAACGTGTCACAATACTTGCCAAGCAATGTTTTATGATATGCTTTTGCGCCAGCCAATACTTGCTTCGATAAAGGAGCGAACTTTGCTGTTAAATTCTGAAAAGAACGAAAAAATTTAATATTGGTTACAACAACCAAAAGCATTTAGCTAAGTAGGCCTACGCGACTTGGTATTGCAGATTAGGGTTAACAATTTTTAAGGCTAGACGCCACTCTTGATTTCGATTAAAAACGTTCTTTAAACTAAAATAGGATACCTATTTCCATGGTATATAAACTGAATGTTTCAAACTTCTCCAGTAAATGGGTTTCCTTTTATTGGGGTGTGAAACATGGTACCAGCCGTCAAATTTTAACAGTACTACGTACACAGCGGTTATTTTAGAGCGTGTATTAGTCTTTTATGGTCCGTCAACAGAGTTTCTTCCAGGCACCTCTTCGGGGGGGCGAAGTCCCCCCCCCCCCCCCGAACAATTTTTACCACCCCCCCCCCCCCCCCCCCCCCCCCGAACGAAATGAAATTTATACAATTTATATAGAAAATATATACTTTTAGCAGTGACCGCCCCCCGAAGAAAGTCTACCGCCCCCCCCCCCCCCGTAAAATTTCAAGTGCCCCCCCCCCCCCCCCCGGAGAAAAAAGCCTGGAAGAAACACTGTCCGTCAATCTATCGGCTGAACACTCGTGTTGCACGCTGGTTTAGTGGGATAGCGGGGGAAAGGTCACAGGACAAAAATTCACAGAAAACAAAAAAAAAATGTTATCGGAAAAAAGTCACAGATATAAAGTCACAGAGGAAAAAAATCACAAAAATGTTTTTTTAAATATTTTTATTTGCTTGTTGAGAATCGAAAACATTTTAGGTGTTTGTAAATATGGATGGTTTTTGGTAGCATATGTATCAACTTTAAAAGTATTTGACGACCACAGGGGCTAAACCACAGTTGTCACACTTTTTCACCTTTGAGGAAATCGAAATTCAGTATTTGCAGACTCTGGTATATAGACACATGTGACGTTTTTTAAATTAAAATTAGTTTTTTTTAAAATGAAAATTAGTTCAATCCTTGATAAGTAGGTGTATTTATTTAGTTACTAGGTCAATTTATTCAATGACGGTAACAACAGTAGGCACATAGTCTTTTTTTTAATATATTACATAGTTATAATACAAAATGAGATAGAATGATAATATAATAGATGAATGAGAAAGTTTGCAATGACTCAGTTAAGGGGGTCATTAAATACTTGTTTTAGTTTAGATTTGAATATATTTTCGAAAGTTTGCAATGACTCAGTTAAAGGGGTCATTAAATACTTGTTTTAGTTTAGATTTGAATATATTTTCAGATATAGATAGTTTTATTATTGAGACTGTTACCAGAATAGCCGAAGCTATGTTTTTAAGAAAAAAGTTGTATACGAGATGGGTAAGCTAAGAGGACAATTTAATTTTATGTTAAAAGAAAATAGGTCTGAAAAGTAAGAGAGGCTGTTTCGTGAAATATTTTATATACAAAAGTGCTTTTTAATTTAATGGAAGTATATTAGTTGTAATAAAATAATCCAGACTACTAGACAAGCCAGTAACTGGTTTTATGGCTCTTCTTTGTAGGCAGTAGGGGAGAGGACGCTGTTTTGTTACAAAGCCGCCGCTCCACACTACAGACGCATAATACAACAAAGATTGAATAAAAGCTTCATACAAAACTAACCAGCATCTATAGTCAACAAGGTTTTGTATCTTTTCTAGTTGAAAAGAAGTCTTTAATATTGACATTTTTAGAAAATGACTATTATCGGACCAGGCGAGGTTTTGATCTATAATCAACCCTAGTCATTTGAAAGAAAGAAAGAAGCGCAAACAGAAAATTGCACACAAAAAAGGCGCAAACAGAACTTTGCGCACACAGAAAAACGCGCAAAGAGAAGTTTTAGCACAAAGACCTATATGGACTAGATGACACATTTATACATGACTGTTAGGGCTCCTGTGGGAGGGTCGTGTTTGACCTGACGCGATCTACTACCATTTAAAGAATACCACTACCATGAACATTCACATCACAACGATACAGGCGACAATCGCTTGACACAATGCCTATTATTTTCTTGTTCAATATTTATTCAACTACTATTCTCGTTGAAATAAACATAAAACTATCCATAATATTGGCATTTCACGAAGTATCTTACATTCTCCCTAGTCCGACCTCCCTAGCTTGCATACCATAACAACCCGTTCCTATTGAAAAACGTCACTCTCTCTCATCCGCGTCATCAAACACGCATTCGTTATATCCCTCGCACCAACATTCATTCGAACCTAAATACCCTGATAAAACAGACATCATAATGATGTATTTCATCGTATTTCATCATGACGCACCTACCTATCTATCTACCTACCTACTTACCTACCTACCTACCTACCCACCCACCTACCTACCTACCTACGGTAACAACAGTAGGCACAGAGGCCTTTTTTTTACATATTAAATAATACAAAATGAGATAGAATGATAATATGATTAGTGGGTAGGTAAGTTGTTAGGTGGGTGCGTGGATAGATGTGTGGGTGGGTAGTTAGGTAGGTGGTTGGGTATTTGTTTAGATGATATAGATTATGCACATTTATGCTTAATAACAGTGTTATAAAACTCGAACTTTCAAACTGGTTTGGCGTAAGGTTAGATTCATTGAGCCAATTGAGCCCTAAATTAAATAGTTAATCAGTTTAATAATGTAGACGCCATTGGACTAGGTCTAAGTCAATAATAAAACTTCATCTCTTCTTTGTTTGTTTATAAAAAAAAAGTTATGGAAGGTTTTTGAAGGTCTTTTTCTGAAAATGTTTACCGCACGAATGCAAAATGACATAAACAACAATAGCTCTTCTGTTATATAGGTTATATGCTATTCAGTAAATGCTTTAGTTGGATGACGCTAACCTTGTGATGTTAAAACAAATAGCATGTAATTGATTTAGTTCGAAGTGTCTGCGCTTTTTTCTATGTGCGAATTTTTCTGTTTGCGCTTTTTTCTGTTTGCGCTTTTTTCTGTTTGCGCTTTTTTCTGTTTGCGCTTTTTTTCTGTGTGCGCTTTTTTCTGTTTGCGTTTTTTCTGTTTGTGCTATTTTCCGTTGCGCAATTTTTTTTTCGCACTTTTTTCCGTCGCGCTTTTTTTCCGTTGCGCATCTTTCTGGGAACCATTTTCGAGTACCCGGTTTACAAACACAAAGCCGAACATTCCCCCACTTTGCTTTTATATTATAAATGTTATTTTTTTTAAAACACATTTTACAAAAATGCCTGAAGAATATTAAATACACAAGTCTAATATGTGCGAGACATAGTCATTTCGAAAAATCAATTATAAGTGCTGATGCTCCTCTTGAATGTGTCAATCAATAAACACCGTTATAGAACACAGGTACGCAGGTTGGTGATAGGGTGATTCCAACATTGTATGAGCTATAGCTTAATTGGTTTACTAATCTTGTTGGTGGGGAATGATTCAAATGTATGTGTCACTGTACAATTGCTTTACTAGCTAGAATCGTGATGGTAGCGGAATTATTCAAATGTTAGATTTGCTACAGTTAAATGTTACTGGTTCTCCTGCATGCTTTGGCAAAGTCCTCTTTTTTTTATTTCATTGAATGTCGGTTGATTTCATGCATTCTACTGAATGCCCAGCTATCCTAGAGATATTATCGTTTTTTTTTTATTTTCTCCTTAAAATGTATAATAGGGAGATGACTGACACGTAGTAATTGATATAACGGGTAGCGGCGATGGCTGTGACCGGGGATCACTGATAGTGAGTAACTTCGTACAACCGATGAAAGAACATATCAAGTAGGCCTATATATAAAATTCATCTTACGAAATCGATTGTTAATTATTGCTTTGGCTTCAAATAATCTTACGGAAATTAAGTATTTTAAATGTTAAAGTACAAACCTTGTAAATAGTTTCTGTTAGGTAATGTATTTCTTCGGAGTTCTTCATTGTCTTGACAAGCTAGTTACTACTGCGGGACAACAATGGAAAGGCAAATATGAAGTAAATGTTAATTTACATAAAACAAAACTAAAAAGATGCAAAATACCATGTTTGCGAGTAAAGTAAATACATGAGTAATTGATGCCTACTGTCCCTAGTGGTTGTGCTTTTTTTTTTACATTTCTAATGTCACAGTGGTGGAAAATTAATTCTAAAATAATTGTTGGTACTATGTGAATATGATTTTGAGTACCGCAACATGATTATAAACACAATTGAAAATTTCACGTACAAAATATTTCAACACACTGTTTTTAGCCGCACAGTATTAAAGATAAATCCAAAACACCATAGTAACGTAGGCCAACAAGAAATAAAAGCCACTGTCTGTAGGGGAGAAGATAATAGGCGAGGAAAATCTATAGAGCTGGTAGATCGACAAGGATGAAGACACAGGCTAATTACGTAGACCTCACTGCGTTGTATCGGATTTTAATATCCACATCTGTGCCAAGACAGCGGTTCCCATCTTTTCTCCTCTGTAACCCTGCAATTTATTGGTGCTTTGTAGGCTGAGGTATGACCTTATTTATTGGTGGGGGATCTGGCTTTTCGGGATGATATGTGATGGTGAGGATCGGGGAGGGAAAAGATTGTCCAAAAAGTCTGATGTCGTTTTACTAGGACAAAAGATTAAAGTGAAGGTTAATGATGCTGGCAATTGCTTTAACTTGGATAAATCAGAACAACCCCCCCTCCCATTCCATGAGCACATATCGTCACAAAAACCAGAACCTCCCCCAACCCCCACGAGGCGTATCCAGATTTTCGGTATAGCGGGAGCGAAAATAGCACACAAAAAAGGCGTCGAGCTTTTAACATGTTATATATATATATATATATATATATATATATATATATATATATATATATATATATATATATATATATATATATATATATATAGGGCGCAATCTGTTTTGAAATCCACGTAGGCCTACACTTTACTTTATAATAGCATTATGTCTATTCTAAAAATTGGAATGCATAAGACGCGTAATTGCAGATATTTTTATTGCTTATTCAGTTTTACAAATAGATCCTCACTTTTAATTTTAATAAACCGGGAGTGATCTCCCCAAAACTTTCTCGAATATTCTTATATAAAATAACAGGGGATGGGAACTCGGGCTATAGACATGATTTTTAATCCATTTTAAATACTTAAAGTTTTAAAAATAGAATAAAATCTCGTAGACAAATTAATTGCACACCAAGTGAACGCAAAATAAAAAAAGCGCATAATAGTGCGCAATATTATTAGTACTTTTAAAATTTACATTAGTTTTTTGAGAAATCGGAAGTAGCGTAAAGTACTACTTCCAGTCAACGGAAATTACTCAAAATTTAACAGAAGGTAGAGAATTAGATCTTTTACTTACATGTGCAATTTCATTCATCTATCTGTAATAGTACTCAAGTTATAGGCTTTTGAAAAATTCAAAGTAGGAAAAGTACCACTTCCGGTTATCGGAAATCGCTCAAAAGTTGATACGGATCTACGATTTTGATAAAATACTTATATATGAAATTTCATCAACCTAGCTGTAACGGTACTCAAGTTATCGTGTTTACACACGGACAGAAAGACAGACAGACACACAGACATACGGACAAGATTGCAAAATTATGTTTTTCCGTATCAGTGAGGTGTAAAACGTCGAGATTTGTAAAAATCTCGATTTGTTTTGCACGATTACAAGACTTTCTCTATACTTCGTATATACGACAAAGTAAAAAGTGCATAATAGTGCGCAATATTATTAGTACTTTAAAAATTTACATTAGTTTTTTGAGAAATCGGAAGTAGCGTAAAGTACTACTTCCAGTCAACGGAAATTACTCAAAATTTAACAGAAGGTAGAGAATTAGATTTTTTACTTACATGTGAAATGTCATTCATCTATCTGTAATAGTACTCAAGTTATAGGCTTTTGAAAAATTCAAAGTAGAAAAAGTACCACTTCCGGTTATCGGAAATTGCTCAAAAGTTGATACGGATCTACGATTTTGATAAAATACTTAAATATGAAATTTCATCAACCTAGCTGTAACGGTACTCAAATTATCGTGTTTACACACGGACAGACAGACAGACAGACAGACACACAGACACACAGACATACGGACAGAATTGCAAAGCCCAGTTTTTCAGACTGGATTACGCATAAAACCTCTTAATTTTGATAAATCTGGATTGATAATTTTTGCCCGATTAAAATAAGTCCTCTATACTTCGGATGTGATGAAGGACTGAGGTGTAATACGGTGAAAATTGTTAAAATTTCAAGTGATTTTTGTGCACGATTACAATACTTTCTCTATACTTCGTATATACGAGAAAGTAAAAAGAAACAACATTAATTTACTATGGACTATGTAAACACATTTGATAACAATTTTTGTTTTATGTTGTACTCTTGAACTACTGATAAAGATACATCCTTTTTTGCCGAGATTTCATTTTAGTAAAATATTTAATTGCGTCTTTTAAATCGACATCAGAAGCTTATTGCCGTTCAATTGTAATCAGGGCTAAGCTGGACAACCTGTCTTCGTTCATAATCGAACGGATGTATGTTTTGAGGAGTTTAAGACGGCTGAAGGATCTTTTTGCTCCAGCGCTGCTTATTGGTAAATTCAAAAACATACGATACAAAGTGGACAGGTTGGATACAAGGAACACAAGTCATTAGCTATTTTGAATTTCAGAATGCTGTTAATTGTCACCGCTATTTCCAGAGGTTCTTTTTCAGTTGAAACTCCCTTGTTTACACTGCTTCCACTAAAAACGTCGTGGTAAAATGTTCTAAGTGATACAAATTCCTGAACCACTTTAGTTCCACTGTTAATTGCTCCAAATATATCAATCTGTCATTTAATGCTAAATGTTTTGGGTCTAAGCAACAAAACTTGGAAGACAAATCTTTAAAATTTTGAAACCTTGTGTTTGTACTAGCTATGACAGAGTCAAGTGACACTAAATAAGTTTGAACAATGAATTTTTTTCCTAGAGTCAGATATCTGAGTATCCTCTGCACCTTGTCATGGAATCTTTTCCGTTTGTATACCCTGTGTTGCTTATACTCAGTACGAATATCACATTTCTCAGCCAGCTCAGTGGCTTCGTTCTCCATCTGCTCACATTCTGATTCAAATTCATCTCCAGCTTCTAGTCTCCTCTTTTTTTAAAATCTAAATTAATCGAACAGCTGTTAACACATCAATGCTACTCATCTGTAAATAAATTGAAAAGTTAAAAGCCGTATGTAAAATTCTTTTCCCGAATATTAAAAAAAACTAAAAACTCAAGTCTCCTTTGTCACGCTTGAAGCACACGTTTAATCAGAAGAGTGCAGGGGTTCACAATCTGTCAAAAATGCCTCTTTTTTAAAAATCAAAAGAAAAAAGCAGTAAATCTTATTATATCGAAATACAGAATAACCACAGCTCTTAACAGATAAGCAGTCTTTGGGTCTGTAACTTATTTATATGCGATCAACTGGTGGCTGGAATTGTGCATAAAGAAAATATTTTTTGTCGAAATAATTATTAGTCTCTAGAACCAGTAGTGCATTTAAAAGTAAGAACATTTATTTAGAATGCCTCAGTCGGTGTACCTGTATGTTATAAGTATGTATTTATACATAGCTGGTTCTACAATCATCGCTATATGATAGGGCTACACCAAAATACACTTGATTATTAAATACATGTTACTTAGATTCAAAGAAGCGTTGTTCCCCTACATTCTGAAATATTTATCTGGTATGCTCTTTTATCAAACATTTTTGGTGATTTTTTTATATGTGAAAAAATGTATATTTTTTATTTCCCTTTTTAATTTTATAAAAAAATTGAGAAAATGATGTACTTATTTTTTTTTAGTCTGTTCTCCGAGTAAGTGTCTTTGTGTTGAGGTCAAAAGATTGAGTTTGTGTCATATATTTTTACAGATATAAACTCTAAAACATGGCACCTTCTAAGGTGTTGAAAAAGAAAGAGTTTAAAACCAACTTTTTAAAACGTCGTAACTTTTTTACTACTTGATATATATGAACAAATTTAGTACCCACTATCTTAGAATCGTGGGTTATTGAGACAGCAACTTTAAAAAAATCTCTGGGACTGTTTTAACCTTCACCGTCAACTATTCTTCACAATGCAAGAACTAGTGCTGGTAATGTCTGCAATGTATATATATATATATATATATATATATATATATATATATATATATATATATATATATATATATATATTGTAACAACATGTATTCTTTGTTGTTGTGGGTTAGCTTTCATGCAGGAAAACGAGCAACAGTGGCAACTTCAAATGATAACTTTATTTACACTATGTACAGATAAATCCGTGGTACATCCATATTTGAAGATCAACTGATATAGGTACAAATAATAATCACGACTCCAAGTCATGGAGACATCTTACATTCACTGCCATCGTTCCAGTCCCAAGTCCTAGCACACAACACCCGTTCACCTTTCGCTCTCCCTTTTATTCACCACTTTCTCTCCCCTTACGTACATGAGCGATCTCACCCAAAAGCATGGATAAACACATGAGGATCGCTCAGACAGTCCTTCCGCTAGCCAGGTATTCTTCATTCATGCAACTTCATGTAAAACACAATATAATATAAACATACATAATTATACAGTCTGTGACACGTCCCCCCTTCAAATAAAATTTTGTGTAACAAAATTTATAAATACAATATTGGTAGGGCAGGATCATGTGCCAGACAACAAAAAATTGTGTACAACTCAAAGTAAAGTAAAATATATTCATTTTAGACTAAGCACTTGTAGTCATAAATTTATAGTGCATACAAAAGACAACAGTATGTAGTGACTATATCACTGATAATTGAAATATGTCAGTGTTTTGAACAAAAACTTTAAATGTACAAGCATTATATGTAATTTTTAATGCATCAATATACATTCACATAGGAGAAAAAAACATTTCTATTACCCAGTAACTGTAGTATAAAAAAAACTACATCAGTTGGGATAAATAATATACCAAACTAATCTGGTACATGACCTTATTACCAAAACATAATACATAGTTGAAATTATCAAAGACTTAATTCAACTCCTAATTTAAATCACTATATCCTATGTGGTAAAAAAAAAACTTTCTTATCATCAAGGTATGTTATTACCACGCATGAGTAATATACTTTGTTGTCTCCCCTATTTGACCCATTTCAGACACATCTAGGTCACAACACAATCACATTCTTGCCTTCCACAGGTAATGACTAGAACTAGTACACAATTCATCATTGAGACTTCCGTCTTATTGTTA